TCACTACTAAGATTCTAAAAACCAAAACCCTCATCTCCGCAAGAACTTAGTTCCATTTTATCTAAGGGATATACGATATCAAGATTATCTCTATAGTTTGGCTTGTTGTCATTAAAATCTTAAGGTTTATAAGCTTAGGAAGCTATCATTTTTCTGCTGACATTTCATTTCTTTTCTGATCTCTCAGTGTGTGTATATATCTCCTTTGTACTCCTCACACAACAAATGGTCCATCAGTAAATTTCCGTTGCTATTGGCACACATTCTAGTATGATCATACATAGATAGGAAAGTGAATTATTCTCATCTCAAAATCTTATGGCATCGATCAAAGCCTCACAAGAGCTTTTTTTTTTCCCTCACTCACAAGAGCTTATTTACAAAAACAATTCACATTACCTACCTAAAAAATGCTCGTACCATTCCCTAATCCCTTCGATACCAGAACCTCTCTAACCATACATTCCTTTCATCAATGCACCGCCTTTTCTCGGCCGAGCTTAGTCTTAGTTTTTACCCCCAACACCCAAACAGAGAAGGCAAAGTTATTAAAAAAGCAAACCTCGAGATTAAATAAAGGAAATACATATTCATCGGTCTCATAGATGTGCCACCAGCACGATGCTTTACAACATTATAATGTGCACATACATATTAACATGTCTACTTGATCTGATCATAATCGAGGTATATCGCTGCATTAATTTTGCAATTCAAGTTTTATTATGTACACCAACCAGATCTTCTATTAACTGTTCTTTCTTGATATAATTAGTATTAATATTAATGTTGTTACTTCCAAAGATCAACTTGGGAGCTGGAGTTGGAAACTGAGGCGAGTTCTGCAGCCATATTTTGTGCCTTCAAATCATTATGCATTATGCTCATTTGTTCCGAAACTTGATCAGACTGCTCATTTGAATAGGCATTATCATTTCTAGCATCATCTTGGCTGAGCTGAGATGCAACAAATTTGTCGAGAACTCGCCAGTCAGTGACTTGATCATTGCTGTAATTCTCATTAATGTGCAATTGATTATTTTGATGCATATTTTCTTCCTGTCCAAGTGTTGAGGACTGCAAAATTCCATAAGGGATTATTGAGCTACTGGCTGCGGATTGTGGAACTTTCGGACTTTCTAATTCAGGAAGCTGCAGGAATGCATCATGAGGCATGTTGTACTGCAACTGGAGTTCTTGTTTGCAGGTGTAGTGAGGTTGATATGAATTAGTATAAGGTTGAGATATCGGCCTCGGGGAATTAAAATCCGGCATGAAAGAAACTTGATCATCATACCAACATAGGGATTCATGCTCTCCCTCCTTCCTTGCAGTTACCATTTTCTTCATGAACACCCTGCATACCACCCATCCTTCTTCCTGCAACCGCAATGAAAAACCTTCATTAGGCATTAACAATCTCTCATTCGAACAAAAGCATGATAATCGTACAATAGTCTGAAATGCAATATATTTAGAGTCACTAATTGTTTTGAATTAAATCATCTCATTTAAAAGCACACGATTTCAGAGATTTAAGAATTGAAATTTTGACACACCCAATCACGTGCAAGCCGATTCATATTTTCATGAAAAGTTCAACAGGAGCTTATATTTTATAAAAGTGTAACACCGAGATAAACTCTTTATTGCAAAGAATTATACTCTTCAACAAGAATCTTGAGAATTATATATTTACTTTATGTTGGCATAGATTGCTAAATACAGTTATATTGGACATGAATACATTTTACATGCGTAAATTTAGGACATGTTTGACACATTAGACAAGAAGGACAAGACATTAGGACAAAGATTTTAACCACTTCCTGTCATAGACGGTGACTATTATTAAGTTTAGTGTACGAAATATGTAATAATTGTATTGAACATTTCTGATAACCATGCTCATATGCAAGACTATAGATTTGATTGAAACTTGCCTGGGAAGTGCCATTTTCAATTGTTTCGAGTCGATACTCATGCATTATCCAGTCTGATTTTTGTCCATTTGGGGCTCGGCCTTTATAGAATACCAAGGTCTTTCTCATGCCAATCAAACTATGCTTAGAATAAATTGCCTTGTCTCTTCCTGTAGCTTTCCAGAATCCTGCTTTTGTAGCTCTATTTGTACGAGTTCCAGTAGGATATTTCTTATCTTTATGACTAAAGAAATACCATTCATTTCGTTCTTCAGTTCCTATCCTGCAGAGTTCTGTTTAAATTCAGGAAAGAAAAAAAGAGATTAACAAACTAAGCCTAGTTGGCTAAAAAATAAAGGTATTAGTTACCCTAAAAAGAAGCTGTATGTACCTTGAAGATCCCATGGCTCGATTCTGTAAAGATCAATGTCTTTTATGATATCTAGGTCAATTCTTTTTGAAGCAACCTTTTTTCGAAGGTAGTAATCAACTAATTCTTCATCTGTAGGATGAAATCTAAAACCAGGAGGTACGTGTGAAAATGAATTCATGTTTCAAATCTAGATTTGTACCTGCAATTTTTTTAGTTAAAACGAATGTAAGTTATATATTGAAGTTTGAAAATTTATGAAGGCCAAAGAGAGACCTAATCTGTATTTTAGATATTATGAATACATGCCAGAGGATCATGCCTGTATGTAAATGAAGGAGTTATTCAACTAAAAAATGTGTATGTAGATAGCACGTTATCGTATGCATAGATGGTTGAAAATTTTATATTTTGAAACACCCCATCTAAAAATTTAAATTGATAAAGAGATACATTTATTTATATTTATATTTTCAATACGTCCTCCCACGTGTAGGAGAATTAATTTTTATCAAAAATTAACCCATAATTTTTTGTGGATATCATAAAACTTAATTTGACTCAAGACCTCTTCTTGCTCGGATGCGAACATCTGTGCTAGATGACATCTATATGCTATTTGCCAATGTTATAACATTAGTTGTGCGACTAAAAATTTGGGATATGTATTTTTAGTTCGAACTTTGGACTATTTTAGAATTTAGATGTTTTAGGTTGAATGAAACTAAGGCAAAACACAAGCAATGTCACTTTAGTAATAATCAAAATGTAGATAATGGAGTTATTATAGAATATGATCTATCCATAAATTAGGGTGGGATGAGAAATTCAAGATGCTCTAACTAATGAATACTATTATAGCATGTTATATGAATTAATGGAGAATTGTTATAAAAATTCTATGTGATACGAAGATCTATGTAACATTACAGATAAATTTTCACAGCCAAGGGCAGTGAGTTATTAAACGATGACATGACCATATGGTGAACCTAAGAAAATGAGCATGTTAAAAATGGATGTATGGTTATATTAAAATGAATAAGAAAAGCAATGTAAACACACGTTATGTATAGACATTTAGATGCGGCATGTTTCGATGATAGATTAATAAAATGACGTAGATGGTTAACAAGACATGATTTGCATAGGCCTAAGGGGCTTGGCTTATAAGAGTGATGCAATCTTGATTGAGCATGTCAAAAGATAGATAACTGGAGCAAAACTAACTGTATAGTAATTGCTTTAAAACTTTGAATAGATCTAGCAATCATTGGAAAGAAGTAGAAGAAAATTATTCATGCAGTTGACTGTAAATTCATTGAAACATGACTTACAAATTTAGCTCGGGGATTAAAATTAGATTTTAATAAAAGTTGGTGAAATATGTGGTTGAAAAATTATATGATCAATGCAATATGTGATTAAAATTAATTGTTGATTTTGACTTAGATTAAAATCTAAATTTTAATTCATATTTGGCTTAGTGTTCTTGAATGGTTGAAGAAAACATAGTGTTCACATATCTTGAGATAAACCCAAAAAATAAGCACACCAAAATCGAAGGGTAGAAGCCAAGTGAAGAAAAAGGGAAACATGTCGAGGGAGTTTATTATGTTATATTTAACACATTAAATTACAAGTATAGGAAAAACAAAAGAGAATGAAATCGAAAATTGAAATAAGAAATTCAGAAGAGAATAAAATAACAACATTAAACATTGGGTTTTCATATTTATAGACTTCATGAATCCTCTTTGTACATGGAGGAAAAAAGCATGCAACCTTTAATTACATGAAGATGTAGGTAAAACTACTCAAGTTTGCTTTTGCTTGAGGCATGGGATGTGAATAAAGACCATACACAAAGATTGCTCCACTCATAATGTAAAACCCTATAGAAAAACAATATCAGAAAAAACTTTAATGAGATCATGTAACCAATAGAAAATGGAAACTTTTGGCAAAAACTTTGATTTTATTCAAAATCGATCAAGAAACTAATACAACTTCTTCATTAAAGAAATTGTCCTTTCTCAGAAGTTAAGTGCGTTTGTTGGATAATTTATTGGTAAATTAGAGAGATCTGGCTTGTTCAACATCCAAAGGGAATGAAAGAAAAAATTATAATAACATAGGAAAATTTCTCAATTAATTTTACATAATTATAATATAGATAAAAGTATCCAAAACTAGACATATAAACAATTAGAATTTCATTATTAGAAAATATACTCAAGAATGAAGCACAAAAAAAGAAATTATATACGAAAACAATCAAATAAAGAAGAAGAAAAAAGATATTGATGAAACCTTAACGGTCGTCTATGTAGAGAAGCCCTTAAATTTCACCGATCGATCTGGTTCTATCCTACCCTTGTTTACAAACAATAAGTTAATAGAAAAGGAAATTTTTTTTGAAGCTTTCTTGTCAGTTTCTTGCAAACTTTTAAGCCCTGAAAAGAAAGAACTTTAGGACAGAAAAATGTTTTCCTCGGGAAAATGAACTGACCCTGAGTTTCAAACTTTGACACTTGAATTGTCAAAGAAAGATCAGATCCCGAGGGAAAGTAAAAGCGAAGGGAAAAGGAAAAGAACAACCTCTTTTTCTCAAATGGGAAAAGACAGAAAAATGGATAGGGTTATATATATATATATATAGAAGCCAAGTTAAAAATTAAAATGAACTGATCTCATATACATCAATGTGTATATGTGTGTGTTCTCTTTGTATATAAGCATTAATCACCTTGTGTTTTAAGTAGAAATATTGATTGCTGGAGAAGCTTTTCGCCGGAGAAAGTGGTGGCAGAATACTCCTCCACCACCGCCCACCAGCAAGTGATAGAAACCAGTATTCTTCTTTCTGTCTTCTTCTCTATTATATTGAGCTTGTGAGAGAGAGAGAGAGATGTAAAGGAATGTTTAACTAAGGCTTTGTAAAGAAACAAAAAACTAATAAGGAGACTCCACACCCGACCAAACACAAAAAGAATGTTTATTACATAACTATAAAAAAAAAACTTTTAGCCAAAAAAGTATAGATATGCCTATTCAAAAAAAAAACCGTGCAAGTTAGGGGTATTCCCTTCTTCCACATCGAACAAATGAAATAAATAGACAACAAGATTTAATACACCATACAAAATGGTAGCTTATTTTAGCACGCTAACCTTTGTAAATGCTCATCAAATTTTAAACGAACGGAATTGTTCGTTTAAACTACTATATTAAAATTTGAAATTTCATTTCCTTAAAATATCAACCTTATTAAGAAAATAATTCAAACTATTATACGATGTTTAGTTGTTCATCTTTAACCGACATGGAATATTTCCCTTAACTCATATTATCCATTTCTATTTAATTTTGTAGACAAAAAAAGTATTTTAAAAAGCGTAAAGCATGACAAAACGACAATTTCAAATTTCAAGTCTTACAGGTCTAAGCGTGCCTACGTGAAGATAGGGGTAAAAAGGTTTTTTAAATATTATTCTAANTAGCCCAAAACATATTTTGAAATAGTATTTTTATGGAAAATGGTAGTTAAAAAATAAGGAAAAATTTTGGATTTATGTGTAATATTATTTTATTGAAAAATGTGTCGTTGAAAATAAGAGAAAGAAAAATGTATTTTGAAAATAATGGTATAATTACCTAATAATTCCTAAAACTATATAATTTCCAAAATTGTAAAAACTAAACAATTGAAAAATAAGCATCGGTTTGTCTTTCATTTAAATTTATTTATTTTTTTGGAAAAATGAGTTTTGAAATAGCGAGTTTTTATGATGGTTGTAAAACAGGGGCTAAAAAAAAAAAAAAAACTGGTCTTGATTTAATGGAAGACAAACAAGGCTTAAAAGCACAATATCCTTTCTATACCCCAAAAATTGTCCAAACTAATTTAGTGCCAAGGTCGCAATAACCATTAGGTTCAAAAATAACTCCGAAAAATTGAAATTTTTTTTTTTTAAAAGGCATGTACCTCTTGGAACTATTCGACGTTCAAAATCTGAGTTAATTGCTCAATGTGAAACTTCTTGAAAATGCGTTATACGTAGACCATGGGCACAACGTCTTTTAAAACGCTACCAAAAAAAAAAATGAATATACTTATTAGTGAATTTACAAATATAAACATGGTTATTCAAAATTTATTTATTTTAGTTTTTGATTCGACGTTAATTTTGTGGATGAAAAATAAGATCAAACATTTTTATATTTCTGATTTGTAATTATTTTTTATTTGTTAGAAATGGAATATAAGACGACGAAAAAGTTAAAAAGAAATTAAATGTATTCAGCGTTTTAATTTGTCATACTTGGATTCCGACTAAGACTCTATAGGTCGTTTTTGTAATAATTACGTTGTCGTTGTCATTTCTCTAAGTTGTGGTCACAATGTGATTTTTACTTTCAAGAGAATGAATTCATAGCATTACGTTAAATGAAAAGAGAATAACTAAAATTATTTCAGACTTTTGAGTAGTTTTGTCTTCCATCAGATAAAACTAATCCCATGTTTTGGCTCTGAGATTTTAGGGAAAATAAATTTTAAAATAGTGATTTTTTAGAGTTAAAAAATAAGGAAAATTGTGGATTTATGTATAACATTATTTTATGAAAGAATGTGTGGTTGAAAATAAGATTTGAAAAAATACGGGCATGTTCTCTTTATCATTTTCAAACCGTTTTCTGTTTTCGATTTTTTAAAATAGTGAAAATACGTTTTATTTCCTATTTTCGAAAACCTCATTTTTGAAAACAAGTTAAAAATTTTTAAAACGCGTTTTGGGTGTTTTCAAAATGCCAAAAAGAACAAATTTTCAATAATTTCAAAATGGACTCTCAAAACACAAAACACAAAATTGAAATATAAAGAGAACGTCATCTACATTTTTTAAAAAAGGGAAACTAAACTTGGGAGAAAACTATATTCAAGGATACGAACTTTTGCATATTGTGTTAGTTAGACATTCAACCAATTCTCTTAACATTTCTATACTCGACTTTTCAATTTTGTAATACTTGGAAGTTCTAGCCCGTATAAATTCAAGTATTACAAAACTAAAAGAGTGGAAAATCAAATATAAAGAAAAATAAACAGAATATCCAAACTCTAATATTTAGAGATTGTTTGGGAGAGATTTTTAGGGGAAGAATTGATTTTGAATATTG